TCTTTCGACATTAGTTTAGTACAAATATCGTTAAATCTATTTAAAATAGTATTATAAATGGGTGTTTAGTTGTTTATATAACTATAAGGTCATTAAGTAATTATAGATGGTAGTTTTTGAAAATTCAGTTAGTATAAATAAGAGCTTTGGGCTCTCATATTTCTTGCACCATTCTCTTGATTCAAGAGTATTTCTCTTCTTATCCCCCGAGCATTTCGGTCCCTCGTGATTCGACTTCTCTTTCTGTAGTTTTAGTATAGTAAGGTGAGCGCTGAAGCGCTGCACGAATCTTTCTTAGAAAGATTCAGCGATGAAGTTCTACCCCTGCAGAGCCCAACTCCTAGCTAAAATCATCTTGTAAGTAAGTTATGCTTACCCTATTTTAAATATAGTTTATATTTAAAATTAGTATTGTTATTATAAATTTATAATAAATATTTGAGCTATTATTATGACTTATATAAGTTTCGTTATAATATCTTTTTAACTACTCGCGGTATGGGAAATCTGGTTTAAGGGCCGCATAGGGTTGTTGGATTTCAGAAGTGCTATACACCAAAATGGTCCTGCCCTCCGGTGTTTTATGTTTGGCCCCTGTCTCTACATAGTGGTTGGAAAGTATTGTTTAAACGCTTATATAATAATAATAATAAGACTAATAATTAGTCACGGTAAATATTAGACTAAAATCTAGTGGTAATAATACTAGGTTTCATCGAAGGAAATTATTTTAAGTAAACGAAGCGCTGTCCAAGTACCAAGTCACCACCTTCTCAAGTGAGTGCATAGTTACTTTCATCTTACACATAGATATGCAGTACTTTATATAAATTACGTGCTATGTGTGCATATTATCTGAATACTTGTTGTCTATGCTGGATGAACGATTTTATACATGTTTTAAATGATTTAAACTGAATATGTATTTTATATCTACGATAATGTTGGGGTAAAACATGGGTAGATGTAATAGATGGAATATGAGTTTGATGATGATTTGAGAGGTGTTATAGACCAAGAGGTGAGGGTGAGAGGTGGACGATGTGAGAAGCCTTTTGCCAAACGATGGCCCCGTCATTCAGCAGAGTATGGATGACAACCACGGACTATTCTAGATAGTCCAGTGGAACACTAGCAGGCTCGCAACCTGTAGGTGTTGCGAACGATCTATTCACCCGGTGTACTCTAAACCTTGGCGACCATGCAGAATTGGTGCCTAAACCTTGGCGATCATGCACACTTGATGCCTAAACCCTGGCGACTATGTAGACTTAGTGCCCATTGTGTAAACCTTGGTGATCATGCATACTTGATGCCTAACCCCTGGTGACTATGCAGACTTAGTGCCTGTTGTCTAAACCGTGGCAACGATGGACTTCGTGTCGATTCCTTAGGATGGCCCTTAGGAATAAATGAACGAGGAATAGCTAATTCTTAGGGTAGATCCTTAAGAATAAAGAAGATAATGAGGATGGGTAATTGGGTTGATTGCTTAATTGTTTAAACATAATAATTATATTATTGTGGGTTGAAAACCCTATGTAGTCACCATGTTTCCCAACCTGACCCACTCAGTTTATTTGTATCACAGGTGTTGTTATGAAGTCACATTACACTGAGAGATTAAGGAGATATAGATCCCTAGTGTAAATGAATGTAAGTTCTGTTTATGCTTATGTTTCTTTATTGACGATGACATCCGAAATGTTTTAAAATGAATAAAATACGTTTCTTCGGAAATGCTTTGATAACGTATTTATCATGTTTTTCTGGGAATAAATTACGCAATATTTTTATTAAAAGAGGTACTCTGATTTTTATAAAGCATAAACAAAATCGGTCTTTTCTAGTCGAGAAAATAGGGATGTCACAGCACCCCAGAATGGCTTGACACGGGTAGGTCAGCACCCCAGAATGGCTTGACACGGGTAGGTCGGCACCCCAAAATGGTCGTACTGGGTAGGTCAGGCACCCCAGAATTCCCCTGCAGTATGTATGCTATGTGATTGTATGGTATGTGGTACGATGGGGGAACTCACTAAGCTTCGTGCTTACAGTTTACAGTTTTGGTTTCAGTTACCTCTTCAGCGAAGGGAAAGGAGATGGCACGGTAGCAGCACATCATACACACACGCATTGTTTTTCCGCACTTGAGATATTCTGGGATTGTACTTTGACATGTTACTATTTTATGATTTGGGTTTTCAGAGATGCTATATTGATTTACGAAATGATATATTTTCACATAGTATTCTTATGAATGTTTTTATAATCAGTTAACTAAAATGAAATTTTTGGACTCGAAATTTGGGACGTTACAAGTTGATATCAGAGCCCTGGTTTGAGGGATTCGGACACACCCTCGGGGTGTTTGGACTCAAATTGAGGGATTAAAAGCTTTTTACAAGGAAATGGTTTTCATAAGTTAAAGGATTTTTGAGAAAGAACGAAGTGTGTGATGTGTGCGACCGGCCGAGCTCAAGTAAGTATTCCCCAAAGTACCCATACAAGTTTATGTTATGTTTATCAGCTTCAGTAGAACAACATGCTAGAATAGGACTAAGGATCTTGGAATGATGCCTTATGTGTATGCTTTATGTGTTTCAGCTTATGAGAATTGCATGCTAGTATTTAGTAGACAGCAGTAGGATAGCATGTTTAAGTTATGCCTGATAGTATGAGCTTAGCATTGTATGCTAGTATAGTTTCCTATTATGAGGATAGGATTGCTTGAGATCGTTCCCTTTTGTCTGAATGTTGCTTGCTTTGTGCTTTGTGGGACTCTAAGTGATGGGAGTTAGCTATTAGGTGAATACGTTTAAGTCACATGTGATCATGGTTGGATAATCTTAGAGGATTGGATTTGACCCTATTTCGCAGCTCTTATTTGAGTCCTAACCGTTGTAGGGATGAGCCCTTTACTCTAACGATTATTCGGGCCTCGTCGCATGTGATTGTATTCAGGTAATGGCTAATTGGCATTACAAAGAGGCCTTCAACAGCTGAGGATTAGTTAGGGTGGATTTAGAGGTACCCTAGGGCGAGCCTAGGATGGGAATAGCAGAGATCAGTAGTAGTAGAAGGGACTTGGTGGAGTCGAGGAAGTTCTTGAGGAAAGTACGGATAGATGTGGAATGTACTATGGCCCTGTATTAATGAAAGCAGAGTATATGTACTTGAATCGAGGAAGGTTGAGGCAATACCAGGGAACTTGTGATGGATGTGATCCCTCTAGATGTATCAGTATCACTGACGATTGTCATTATGTATTGCAAAATAGTGGTACTACGTCCGAGGCTAGAAGTTGGCAGCTCAGGAGAGGGATTGGTTTCGGGCTCAGGTTCCGAACCAGTGGATGAAAGGCTACGCGAGTTCATCACATCCAAGATCACTAGAGGCATGCTTGATGCGACCCCATTCATCTTTGGTTCGATCAAGGAAGGGATTGTCGAGCTGATGGAGGATCGCCTCCGGGCATTCAGGAGCGACATGGCGACCAGTGAGTCGGGATCATGCATACTATCCTTTAAGAACTTCAAGGGAAGTGGTGCGTCGGATTTCCATGGGGCAAAGGACCCCATTGCAGCCAGGAAATGGATGGCATACATTGAGTCTGCACATTTAACCAGCTTCAGCCCTGAGGGGTTAAAGGTGAGATATGCAGCATGGTGCTTGAGAGACAGAGCAAGAGGTTGGTGGGAGTGGGTTGGTGACTCTCTAGAAGCCTCGGTTGTTGAGGCTATGACATGGCAGGACTATACGACCCAGCTTAGGAGTGAGTTCACGCCAGCTGTGGGGCTTCAACACCTGGCCAGGGAGTTTTTAGATATGAGACAGACTACGGAGACTGTGGTAGAGATCACCGCCAACATCTGGGAGAGGACATTGCTGGTGCCCCAGTATGCGGGAGATGAGGGCATGAGGAGGACCCTCTACCATGACATGCTGTGAGCCGACATTCGAAAGCATGTTAGTTTTTCAGTTTGCCCTACCCTGGATTCCATTATTTTCAGGGCAAGGGAGATGGAGATTGAGCTGGAGCACATCCGGAAGGGGAAGGTAGAGGAGGGACATACGACTGGGACTTCGGGAAGAAGCCCGAGGGATCAGATGGTAGGCCGAAAGGCCAGTCTAGACAACGCTGATGTAGGAAATGTGGCAGGCTACACAAGGGGGTGTGTAGATTGGGATCGTCGGGCTGCTATAAGTGCAGCAAGATGGGGCATTTCAGAAGGGATTGTACCGCTTCTGCACCCACTGTTTAGATATCCGAGTTCTTGTGTTTCCACTACAGCCCTGCTGTAAACTCTGTCTCACCCTAGCAGCCGAACAAAATGTTGACTCAGGACGGGTGCCCTCACCGTACACCGTAAGTACTCCCCCACTAGGGTCTCGAATCGTCACCAGCTGACGCTCGCAGTCTATAATCGCTCCAAATTGGCTCAACCAATCCATGCCCACTATGACACATAGGTCCCCCATCGCAATCGGGAATAGATCGATCGGAAATCCCACACTGAAGATCCCAAGTCTACATCCTCGAATCACCTCCGTGGCATAC